TCTCTCTCTCTCTCTCTCTCTCTCTCTCACCTGTGGTAACATGGCAGCTATCTCCAGGAAGGTGGGTCTCCTGCCAGGATCATTCTCCCAGCACTTCAACATCAGCCCGTAGAACTCCTTGGGGCAACAGTCTGGCTGCTCCAGCCTCCTACAGTTTGGCTCATCTATGGCTTCAAGGATCTGTAAAGATTGCGTTGGGTGAGACGACGCATCTCAACTAGCACAATTTTGTTGGGTGAACCACCTTGTTTTCATTGATCTAAGTGGATTGGGTATCGGTAAGACCACCTCAATGAAGGCCCTGTTCACACACTGGGTCAACTTAGACAAGAAATTTTCTAAGCTGGTCTAAAAAGTTACATTTTGAAGATCAACTGATATCTATTGAGAATACATATCGCTACTTTACATCACTTGCAAATTGGCAAACAAGTTAAAAGAAATGATACAAGATAAGTAATTGATAAAAGTGTATACAGCTCTTATTGTCAGAGGTTCAGAAGCTTAAGTTTCAAATGTAAATTGAAAGAAATCTAGTAATAAGCCATGTTATAATCAACATTACACGATAAAAAAATATTATGACATTCAGTAAACACAAAGCATTATATCTTTCATAATACTTGAAATTTGAGATAAACATCTAGCCATATTAAGTGACGCCTTCAACATTTAAGATTTCTACTCCGTACATTGTCAACTTTTAATCCATGACCTCGAGAAACTCAAAGACATTTTCCTCAAATAACCCAACAGACTACATACATAATAACAGAAGTCTACCCCCAAAATCCAGAAACTAGAAACTACTCTAGAATATTTCTAAGAGGCTAGCATGCAGCTAACAGCACATGCAGTAGTTACACATGCCTTGACGTCAACAATAACAGCAACAAAAAACAATGCTGCTGTATCACCACAGCAACAGCAACTTGGCCATGACATAATAACAACAGAACTACCATGCTTCCAGAAAAACAAAGGTCAGGGTTTTTTTTTAAAGGTGAAGTGGGAAGATTTTCAGAAGGCCCAGATTTGTTCCTAGAAATACCATATTTTAGAAAAACAGAAGGATAGTTTAAATATTCCTCACCCACCCCCAATCCCAAGAAATATAAAATGAAAATAAACCTGAAGATTAAAAAAAAAGACATTAAATACTTTTTAGTTTAATGATAAAAATATCAAATATAAACATTCCACATGCCTCCTCTTAAAAATTAAAAAAGAAAAAAAAACTGTAATTTAACTGTAAATTAATGAAAACAAGAACTGTATAAGAAATGTGTTGAGAGCTGTGGGTCCATGCTGCTCCTGTTTTAAATTTTTTAATCGAAGCAATAAAGCCATTAGCTGTTAGTTCCCACATGGCATTGAATGCAAGGAATATATACAATACATTAGTGCAATACTTGGTTATATCATCATGAAATATTATCATGATATTGATCAGTGTTGTTAACTTGTGGTGGAAATACCTTGGTTGTTAATTCTAAAGCTTTGAGAGACGTTTGTCCATCACTATCCTGAAAGGGGAGAAAAACAGAAACAAACCAGAGTAATTTTTCTTTCAAAGAAATAACAGAAAACTGCTGCATTGTCATTATTAATCAACTAGAAAACAGAAAATAAAAGTTGGTCTGACAATTTTAATATGGGTTACAAAAAATAATGTTCTTTGTTTGTGCTGTATTATTTCATATTAGTTCAAGTATCATTTTGAAATCATATACAATATAGTGGGATGCATGCCCCAGTTAGGAAATCAGAAATTAATTTTCTATTAAAAAATTTAAATAATAAATGCTCTTGAATCATGAAGTTCACATCTCCAAGTGCCTTATTAATAAGACTATTTAGAGGAGGGGTGGGGAAAAAAGTTATTTTATTTTTTTATTTCTAATGTACTTTATTGCTTGTTAACCACAGAATGGTTCATATTGATCAGTATCACAAACGGCAAAATTCAACCCAATAAAATCACATAAATTTAAATGCTTCATATCTCAATATAGATATACCTTTGTATTATCAAATATGGTTAATGAGCACAACAATAGAATTGTAGGGGAATAAGTATTTAAGTTACAAATAACTAGCAGGAATTCAAAATATCTCAAGGGTCAATCCTCAAATACATTGCATTTTGCATTCACACCCAAAAAGAAAGAAACGTGGATTATTTTAAAGGTGTGCTTTAACAATTTAGGTCATACAACAGGTCCATCAATATTATACAAGTGGGAGAATCATAACATTTATAAAGATTTCTATCACAAACTGGTACTAACAATACACAATGTGTGATAAAATCAAAGTTTACAAATATCACCATCACCACAAAAAAAGGTAATGAATAAAACATGCTGTTAAGTTTGGATAAAAGGTTCCACCCCAATCCTGCCTCTCCCCCCCCCCCCCCCAACTCATCCCACTTCTATCCCATCACAGACAAGAACAGACCTCCAAGACAACAAACTTCCACTTAGATTTAACATCATCTACAGTCAGTTTAGAAATACTTTCTCCTGCTTCAACATTTCTAAACATTCTGATCCACTTTAAACTTGACTTCTAACTAGATGACCATCAGGAACAATCACAGCTCATAACGTTATACAAATGACACAGGTAGAAATTCATACATAGACCAATTTTAAAATGAGTCCCAAGCAAAAACTATTCTATGACAGATAAAGGAAGTCACTCAAATGGCTAGCTGCACACTGCTCTAATTTTTAAAGCAAAAGCTCCATCAGCATTGCCATATCTCGATGCAGCTTATCTTTAAAAAGCTATCACATCATCACCCCCTACCCTCCCCCTGGGGTAAACACCAAATGCCATTCCTTTAAACTACTGTAGCTTGTACCACACAGCTAAAACTACAGGCAACAAAAACTTTTGCTTGTTAAAATGCCATCCCAAAATGCCCCGAAAAATTCATATATAGTAGATGTCTTTATTTATTTATTTATTTATTTATTTATTTATTTATTTATTTATTTGGGGGGGGGGGGTAACTTAGCACAGGAGAAGAACAATTACCCCCAGATGTACTTTTACATAAGACTCTACTGACCAAAAATACCTTCAGCATGGCTCCAACAGACAAAAATATCTTCTTTATATTTCATATACTACTGTATTCCACCCCACTCCACTGAGGCTGACCAACAACAAGGTACTTTTAAGCCTTAAGGTTTCTTTCAGTTCTTTAGCCAGCAATTGCATGGGGGGAGGGGGGGTTCTGAAAATGTGGACCTTTTTAACCCCAGAGAGTCCCCTTTGAGAATCAAGACAAAATTTGATTCTGGACAGAACTTTTCCAGCCAAAAGAGTGGTTCTTTTGAACCCTCCATACATCCCAATGGGCCTATTTTTCCCTTTTTAACCCAGCAATCTAAGAGAGTGCAAGACTCGGAGTTTAAAGAGGTGTTGTAGTTCTCACCTGTTGTCCAGAGAAGCCGCCCCAGGGCTGGAGACCATAGCTGAACATCTCCCACAGCGTGACACCAAACGCCCACACATCCGACGCCGTAGTGAACCGTAGGTAGTTGATGCATTCTGGGGCACACCTGCATGTGTACAACTTGATTTAATAATGTGAAACGAGAGAGACAGAGAGAGAGAGAGAGAGAGAGAGAGAGAGAGCAGAAGCCCTCTCATTTACAAAGTCTAAGTCTCAATATAATCTTGCATAAATAGCATAATTTATATGCCCAAAGCAGGCCTATATCACAGTCTTCATTACTAAGGCTGGATAGAACCTGTGAAACAGCATACTTCAGCCATACTCACCAAGCTATTGGCAACTTGAGATTGACATTGAAGTTGGTCTGGTAATAATCCCTGCTTAGACCCAGAGCCCGTGACATTCCAAAGTCACTAATTTTTACCTGGAATTATGAGATGTCATCTGAGTACCAAATAACTTCTTAACAGATTAACATTAAATTCAAAGAGCAATTCTTAAAACTGTTTAACTTCTGAACACTATGTAATACCATTCCATGAAATTGATATCAGTCATGACTGGTAAGACAGGCAGTCACAGCATGTCTGTGTATACCTTAGTTTTTGAGAACACCAGTATATTTCTAGCAGCCAGGTCCCTGTGGATCATCCTCCGCGTCTCCAAGTACTCCATTCCTTTGGCAATCTGGGTTGCGTACTCACACAGTGTGGTGACAGGAAAGTTTGGGTGCGCAGATGTGTCCTTGAGACACTCCAGTAGTGACCTCATTGGGGCTAGCTCCGTCACCTGCAGGTGGAAAATAATTTATACTTCCAAGTTTAAAATTTATGTGCCTTTGTTTTTATTCTATTTCGAACATAGTGTAATGTAACCTTATCTGCAGGATGTTTAATAATTTTCTTTATAAACTTACAAAAATTGTTAGTTTTTGCTATGTCCCAATAATCCCTGTAACAATCATCTCACTAGCAGAGTTTTAAGATCACACCTGGCACAGTCACACCTAATGCAAGCACAACTAACACATTCTCACCAGCATCAGTAGTCCCTCAGAGTACGACAATGTTTACATGGTTTACTGTATTCAGAAGCAACTATGGCACACCTAACACAATCATACCCAAAACAATCATACCTGACACAATCCCACCTAACACAATCATACCTGACACAATCCCACCTAACACAATCATACCTAACACAATCATACCTGACACAATCCCAACTAACACAATCATACCTAAAACAATCATACCTGACACAATCCCAACTAACACAATCATACCTAAAACAATCATACCTGACACAATCCCACCTAACACAATCATACCTGACACAATCCCACCTAACACAATCATACCTAACACAATCATACCTGACACAATCCCACCGAACACAATCATACTTAACACAATCATACCTGACACAATCCCAACTAACACAATCATACCTAAAACAATCATACCTGACACAATCCCAACTAACACAATCATACCTAAAACAATCATACCTGACACAATCCCACCTAACACAATCATACTTAACACAATCACAACTAACACAATCTTACCAGCATCAGTGGTGCCTCAGAGGAGCTGTCCAGCACCACACCATACAGCCGGACTATGTTGTCATGGTCCACTGTGTGCATCATGGTGGCCTCCTTCAGGAAGTCTGCTATCCCCGTCTGCATTCTCTCCTTACTCAGGCATTTGATGGCAACTTGGATCTGGAGAAGAAAAAGACATTATTGTCACAACCATTTCACAACTAACACAATTCCAACTTGAACCTGGAGAAGTAAAGATATTCTGGTCACAACTATTTCACAACTAACACAATGGTACAGCTAACAGCTATCATAATCTGAATTTTTTCTCCTTGACCAAAAAGGCGATAGCTATTTAAGACTGACTTAACACATAGATCATTGACTGAATAAAAGTGCACTGACCAATCATAAAATACAATTCCATTTATCCATCCAATTAAAACTAACTTGATTTAAAATAAACATAATTGTACCTTATTAAGAGAATGTCTTTTTCTGAAGAGATATGTCAGGTTTCTTTTGAACAATAAAACCCTTTAGACAAGAAAAAAGTTCAATTCTAACTTTATCTCCAGTCGAAAAAAAAAAAAAAGAGAGAGAAAACTGCCCAAGGCCACAAGTAACCACTGATAACCACGATTCCAGTGACCTGTATTACCTGACTGGTGCATTAACATGAAAGTAAGATGATGCCGTGACTAATGGTTAACACCCTTGGCAGGCTTCTTTAATCCGTGACAAAAAAATGTCAGACATAGAGTTGGTCTTTATGGTCAGAATGAAAATTTTGGCATAGTTTAATTCACTATAATTATGTAGCAGGCCCCAGGCCCTAAAACTGAGTTACTTGTGGTGTAAAAAGCATAGGTCTGTTCACTTTTACAACTTGCCTAATGTTTCATTTTAGCAGACTACTGCTGATTTATCAAGAATTACCTTCAGTCAGAGGGGACCAAGGGTGCATTCCCATAGATATAGATCGATCCAGAGATTAAGATTTAGATAGACCTAGCTCCCTGGGGGTTCATGCTAAATTGCAGTCAGCCGAGCACGCACCATAGTTATTTACCCCCTTACAGCTTTTAGTAGGGGGGACAGACCCTTAAGCCGGCTAAGCTGACAGTAATCTAGTGAGACTCCCCACAGGGATATATCAATCTAAAATCTAGGGAAATGGGGTCCAAGATTATGATCTAAAAGTCTCAGGCTAAAGTTGGTACCTTTCAAAGTATTCCGTCAAACCTGGGTGCTGTTTTTAAAACAGATGGTTGACTGCTCAGCAGAAGACCACCTGTCAGTTCTGCCATAAATTGTGGCTTATATGAACGGTTAGTGTCTAAGATAACTTGAATTATTATTTTCATTCTGCTTTTTTTTCTTTATATATTTTTGTGTGGGTATATACCCCCACAATCTAGTCTATCCCCTATACCCCTTAATCTCTATCCCTCCTCCCCCCCCCCAACTCTTCCCGTCATATATGACTAAATATGCTCAAGCATTTCCAACTTATCTCAAACACATCCTCTGATGGTGTATTTAGATGACAAAAAGGCCGTGACACTGCTATCATGCTGTCCATCAAATAACTTGGCAATGCTTGACATGCATAACAACAGTCATATTAAGAAGATATCTGCACAGTTTGGGAGGAAAATTACATGTTGTGCAATACACTTCAGAATTATCTGATGGGCTGCCTGCATCTAGTGCCATGGCAACAACTTCCTAAAGCGGAATTGAACTTGATTTATCAGATTTCCAACAAGGTTTTTTTTTTTTCTTCTTTTTTTTTTTTTTTTTTTTGGTTATTACTAAGAATAAGATAAATTCAATGTTTCCAAAATCAACTTGGGTTCATGACAAAAAGGTTTTCTTCTTTGGGTGAGACTAAATTGTTCAATCTTACAAAAACAATATTAGAATGAGTCAGGAATTGCTTATTTGTGAGAGAACGTTTTCTACTAAATGTGGCATGCAAATGAGCACATTTTAAAGGATTTTTTTTTCTTTTGTGGCATAAATTTTTGACTGAAGGTCATATAACACAGGCAGCCGCGCACACACACTCACACAAGGACACACATGTACTTACACACATACTAGTAGACAAACATGTACACAAATAAACATACTCATTACTCTGCAGCCAAGAAAATGTACGCTACAAAATATGCTTTGAGATTTACGATCTTACAATAAAAACATTCATATTTTCCTTTCAAAAACCAAAGCAGTCTTCAACCGAATCACTTTTTTTTTCACTTGGGAATCTAACTTCGATGTATCTGATGACCACCTCAATAGCAGATAAAGCAGGTTTAAGCTGACATCTAATATCAGTTGATCTGAAAGTTATAATGTAACATCCTATAACATGGCATGAACATGTGTTCTATCAATTCCAATGACTGATAAATTATCATGTGGTGTCACAAAGGCCAGGGAAATCACTGCAAGATATCCAGAGTGTTTGAATAAGGTGATAGTGTTTGAGAATGTGTTCACGCCCATGTGCATGTGCAGGCATGTTTCTGCATACATGCACAGGTAATTTTCTTTTAAGAGAATGAAGTTTCATTTTTTTCTGATTAATCCTCTCTCTCTCTCCCCCCTTACACACACACACACGCACTCAGGAATGTACGCACACAAATCATTTATTTTGCCTGCATTTCTTATCAAGTGAATCTCTCACTCCTAAATTTCTTTTTTTTTCTGGACCTGGCATCTGTTCTCGCAGTCCTCTTTGAAGTTCGCTATAAAATCTGAAGGTTACGTTTCTCCACTGGATGAAACACGATCTTCTGACTCAGCCGCGAAATAACATGAAGTAACAAGCTGTCCCTGTTATTACTCCCAGCTATGTTATTATTTCTCTTACGTATGGACTCTCCCGATAAGTAGGCAATGACGGAGTCTACCCTCCAGTTACTGGTACATACAGGGCGGGGGTGAATATGATTTTTTTTCCACTTGCATTGGTGTCTGTTGTCTGTAGGAGTCAAGGTAACATTGTACTACACGGTGTACCAAAAGTGCATTAAACTTTCTTGGCAAGACTGACAGTAAGGAGGGTAGTCAACTGCAGGTTCTATTCTGCCAGTTGCAATGGGTGATATGCACATGCACACATACACACAGATACATACCAATACACAAAAATACACGCACATGGGCACACAAAATAAAAAAATAAAAATGCACCTCTCTATATGAAAAATACTTGTATAATGCATGCAACAGATGCTCTCAAAATCCATACATCACCTAGCTCCAACACATTTTTACAAGGTTTTTAAATATCATGCAAACATATCATGCAAACAGGTGTATTAAATTTTTAATTAAACACAAAATTAGATTTAGCATCGTGTGTCATTTTTCAAGTATTTCCTGC